CAGCTCTGCGCATGCGCACACTGGGAACAGGCTCCAGCTGTTCTTCTGCCTCACTGATAAAGGCCGCTGATAACTGAAATACGGCCCTGGCCCCCTCTCTGCCTCCGACACAGAGCCCTCATCAGAGCCTTCCCCAGACTCCAGGACTGGCCCAGGTTCCTCCCCATTACTGTCCGAATCTTCTGCCAACTCCACTGGCCACTGGTGGGCCACAACAACGATGTTTGGAATAGCCCAGCACACCCATTCCGATAGAGAGGCGTTCCCTGAGGATGGGCTCCAGCATGAGAGCACGGAAGGCTACACCTCTTTGGGTCTCGGTAACCGAGCCCAAGTGGATCTTGCAAGGAAAGTAAATTCCTGGTTGCCCCTATCATCCCTAGACCAAAACCTAGGGAAAAAATCCCTCTCCCTGGGGCCAAAATAGGGTGTGACTCGTGGCCACAAGGTGTGGGAAAGGGACGGCTTCCTTCCAAGAGCACCGAAACTCACTCGGTCACAGGTGAGGCACTGGACGAGGCTGAGAATGGATCCATCAAAAATGTCAGAAATGACGCTACGGTAACGCAATTCTTTCTTCTTTTTTCCAGAGGTCAGCAACTGAGCTGAAGAAGGGGGCGAATAAGAACAGAAGGAAGATATTGGCCAAGAGTGATAGGCACCTTGGGGTGCAATTGCAAAATATCCGGAAGCACCACTTGCACACCAATAGCAGCGGCACTTAAAAGACTTATATGCCGCTTGGCTTTCCAGCCCTCCTCTCTAAGCCGTTTACAGAGTCGGCCTCTTGCCCCAAACAATCCTCATTTTACCCACCTCGGGGTAAGGAGGGAAGGTTGAGTCAATCTCGAGCCGGTCAAGGATCGAATTCCCGGCAGTGGGCAGAGTTAGCCTGCAATGCTGCATTCTAACTACTGTGCCACCACGCTCCTAACACCGTCTTGGCATTGACAGAATCGCCATCGGTCAATTGCAAAAAGGCAGCTTGGCTGACCTCCTGCAACGAAGCCCATAACCCCACCCAACCGCATTCGCCCATCCCTTCCGATTCCCAGTCCACGGGGAGGCCAAATTCACTTAACGGCCACAGCAGCAAAGTGGGCGATCAGGCGAGGACTCAAACAACCCCACTGCGCAGACACATTACACTTACACTCCTCCTACCTTTCTTCAGCACGTAGGAGTGTCCCAGCCTCACCGGGCTGGAATGTGGAGGAGTCGAGAGTTTGGCGTATTCGTGGTGGTGGTGGACAGGGCTGCAGGGCCGCGAGGAACAACGTGGGTAGGCGTCATTATCTGGTTCTGGGGAACGGACGAGAGGCAGTTGGGAATGGCGAGATTTTATTGGTTTTGTTTATTACATTTTTATATCTCCTGTCTCCCCCCGTAAGGTGGATTAAAAATGCAGAGGAGAAAGAGAAAGAGGAGAAGATGAAAAAAGGAAGGAAGGAGAAGATGAAAGGAGAGATGGAGGGGAGACGGGAAGATGGGAAAAGAAAAAAGGAGAAGGAAGTTACATAATAAATGAGGGAGGATGAGGAGATGGAGGAAGGGAGAAGAAAGGGATAGGAATGGAGGAGGGAGGGAGGAAGAAACATGGGAAAAGAGAAGAGAGAAGATAAATAAGGAAAGGAAGGATGGTTTGAAAGATGCTAAATGGAGGGAGGGAGGGAGGGTTGAAAGATGCTGAACTCAGGGAAGGAAAGAAGGAAGGAAGGAAGGAAGGAAGGAAGGAAGGAAGGAAAGGAGGGATGGCTCACATGGCCCATACCTGGGGTCCTCGCAGGGCTGGCGGGTCGAGGAGGGGGCGGGAGAAGTCCTTCCGGAGAAGCCCCGCCCTCCACCGCCATCACCGAGGTGTCAATGTCAGCATCTTCGTCGACTTGCTCCGAGTTGCTCCGCCGTTGGTGGCAGGAGAATTTCCGCTCCTTCATCCGCTCCTTCTCGGAGATGCTGCGACCCCCCGCCTCCTCCTGGATCAGCAGCTCCGCTTCGGCTGAGCCCGCTTTGCTCTGCCCATCCCCTTCCCCGCGGTCACTGCTTGAGTCGCAGGAGAGGAACTCGTCCTCCGAGGGGCTGCGGTCCCCCTCCCTTTTGTCATCTGTGTCGCTCGCGTCCAAGTCGCGCAGTTCGGCCGTCATCGGCTCCTTCAGCTCTTCGTGAAGTTGGTCCATCAGGCAGCGGAGGAATTCTTGCGTATCCTGGGGAGGGGACGGAAAGTGACCCCAGGTTTGCTAGGGAAAAATGGGGCTTATCCCAAAGGAGGCAGACATCCTTCTAACGAACTACAAAATGTTTCAGTGATTCAAGACATACTCTATTTTTCGGAGTATAAGACGCTCCAAAGTATAAGACGCACCTAGCTTTCAGGGAGGAAAACAAGAGGAAAATAATCTGTCTCTGCCTCCCAGCAATTTGCCTCCTTGCAGCAATTTGCCTCCTTGCCTCCTTGTTTCAGTTTCAATTTCAGCACAGCCTGATTAGCACAAGCAGCTGATTGTTGGATTGGCCTCCTGATGATCAGCTGTTTCAGGCTGCAGGGATTGCCATTGCCGCCTCCAGGCACCCCAGCTGATGGTCGGGAGGCCAATTCAACTGAC